CTGTCGGAGGGTCAGTGCTGAGGGAACGGGCACTGTCAGAGGGTCAGCGCTGAGGGAGTGGGCACAGTCGGAGGGTCAGCGCTGAGGGAGTGGGCACTGTCGGAGGGTCAGCGCTGAGGGAGTGGGCACTGTCGGAGGGTCAGCGCTGAGGGAGCGGGCACTGTCGGAGGGTCAGCGCTGAGGGAGCGGGCACTGTCGGAGGGTCAGCGCTGAGGGAGTGGGCACAGTCGGAGGGTCAGTGCTGAGTGACATTGAGCCCCCTCCTTCAGCATGGTGTACTGTAGTCAAAGGCCATTCAGCCCCTCATCAAGCGTGTTAAATCGGTATGAGTGAGGCTGGAGGACCTTGAATTTACTGATCGACCTGTGTTCCCGGTGAGTTGAGAACTGAATGTTTCCCATTCACACTGATCTCTGGTTATCTCCTCCTCTCCCTTTCAAATCGTTCGTCTCCTTTACTATTCAAACAACCAGAATTTTCATCAGTGTTTTCACTCATTACAGCTATCGATTCGTTCACTAATTAAATGTATTTCATAAAAAGACACTAATTGGTTCCAATTCCTGGTAACCAGGAAATGCTTGGCCCTAAATACAACACTAAACACGCACTCACACACTCACACAGATACACACACACACACCCTCTCACACACACACACTCTCACTGACACACACACACACACACACACAAAGATACACACACACACACACACACATACACACACAGACAGACAAACATCAACACTCACACACAAACACTCACAGACAAACGCACTCACACAGACACACATACAGGCACACAGGCACAAACACACTCTCTCTCACACATACACACACACTCCCACACAGATGCTCACACACACAGACACACCCACTCACACAGACAGACACACACGACCACAGAGACATTCACACACAGAGCCACAGAGGGAGAGAGAGACCACAGAGACAGGCACTCACATACAGACAGAGAGAGAGAGAGACAGAGAGAGACACACACACAGAGACAGGCGCACACATACAGACAGAGAGAGAGAGACACAGAGAGAGACACAAACACAGAGACAGGCACACACATACAGACAGAGACAGACACAGAGAGAGAGACACACACAGAGACAGGCACACACATACAGACAGA